AGCCTTCCTGTGGTTCTGGGTGATGTCCGTTCCGTCTTTTAGTTGTATTTTTGAAGTGGTTGTTTGAGGCAGCAAACTCCGGTGTTTACCTATGCCGCCATCTTGGTTTCCTCCTAAAGCTAATTTTTAAAATTAAAAAAAAAACACATGTGCCTAAGTTTTAATAAATAAATGTCATATAGTTCACATTTCCCAGATATAACTATTGTTAACAGTTGAGATAGTCTTTGGAATTACATGTGTAACTGGTAAGAAATGGGACTCTATATTTTATTTTTAAACATATCTAAATAAGATTCCTTTCTTAGATGAAGAAAATGTGTAAGATGTCAATATGCTTCATTTTCATTTCTAGGACAGAATTTAAAAATACTAAGAAATAACTGCATAAATATCCTGGTGTAACAGAAATTGGAATTGGTGATTTAGGGGCATATAGATGACCTACCTTGAACATCTTATAGATTTAAAAAAATCCTCTAGAAAGGCCACATCTTTTTTTTCATCTTCTATTGTATAGATCTCTAATACTGTTACCGGAATCATGTTAAGTAAAATACTGAAAAGTCTGAACATAGCAAAGAAGATCTTGATTTAGAATGCCCATTTATTTTATTGAGATACTGTGCTGTGATTCTGACAGAGTAGGTATATTTTGGAGGACTCTTGTACTCCTACCTCTTTGCCTCTTGTATCTTAGAGTAAAGTCTCTGCTCTGCACCAAATCAACACAGGCCTGAAACTCAATAACTCAGTCACAAAAGAAAGAAAACAACTCTATTTAAAACATCTGGTAGCCAGAACATTGCTTCTCAAACTTCAGTGTGCACATGAATCATCCAGAGAGCTTATTCAAATGCGGATTCTGGTTCCCTGTCTTGATTCACCTTTTTCTTGCCTTGTGTGTGCATCTCTCCTAAAAGTATCAGTAGTTTAATCTTTGCCCAGGCTCTGCTTTCTAGAAGTGCTGGGGTAAGAGCTTTTTCCTTTTTCTAAAATTTCCCCTTTCGTTCCTGTCTTTCTGTGGTCTGCTACTAGAACTTGCTGCCTATGGCCTGGTTCTCACTTATGGAATCAGTTCTCAACCCCATTTTAGATTTCTCTCTGAACCTAGACCTTTAGCTCTGGGGTATCTCCACAGCTAGCCCATCCAAGCCTAGCCACACCTGGCCCTCTGTGGCTAGAGTAAGGTAGCACTGCACAGGTGGAAAGATCTGGGCATTAATAGCAGAACTTTGCTATTCAAAGTATCATCAATGGACTAGCAGCATCAGCATCACGTAGTAGCTTGTTCAAGTGTAGACCCTGCCTGCTGAATGAAAAAGAATGAGTATAATTTAAAGAAACCTTGGGACAACATGAAGCATAGCAACATCTGTATCATAGGGGTACCAGAAGGAGAAGAGAGAGAGAGAGCAAGGGATCAAGAACCTATTTGAAGAAATAATGCCTAAAAATTTCCCTAACCTAATGAAGGAAAAGACACACTGGAGGCCCAAACAAGATGAACCCAAAGAGGCCCACACCAACTCACATCATAATTTTTTAAATCCTCACCCAAGGATATTTTTTCCATTGATTTTTTTTTAGAGAGAGTGGAGGAAGGAAGGTCAGGGGGAGGATAGAGAAACATTGATTGGTTGTCTCCCATTTGCACCCTGACTGGAGCCAGGGATTGAGCTTGCAACTGAGGTACATGCCTTTGGTCTGAGGGTGATGCTCTAACCACTGAGCACCCAGCCAGGATGAGACACATCTTAATTAAAATGGCAAATGTTAAAGACAAAAGGAGAATCTTAAATGCAGCAAGAGAAAAGCTGTTAATTACCTACAAGGAAGCTCCCATAAAACTGTCAGCTGATCTCTCAACAGAATTATTTCAGGACAGAAGGGATTAAATAAAATATTCAAAGAAATGAAAAGTAAGGACCTAAAAACCAGACTACCATTTAAAATTGAAGGAGAAATAAAGAGCTTCTCAGATAAGACAAAGCTAAATGAGTTTGTTACCACCAAGCAGGTATAACTTGTTAATGAGCCATCTTGAAGAATAAGAAGAAAAGAGAGTTAAAAGAATAAAATGGCAATAAATACGTACCTATCAATAATCACTTTAAATGTAAATGGTTTAAGTGCTCCAATCAGAAGACATAGGTTAGCTTAATAGATGAGGAAGCAAGACCCATGTATATGCTATCTACAAGAGACTCTCTGTGGCCAGGATTTCCAGTACTATCCTAGCCACAGAGGGCTTTGCATATAACATATGCAAACAACAAAACCCTTCCTATAACAAAACCCTAATATGCAAATCAACTGAACGGCAGAACAAACAGTCGCTATGATGCGCACTGACCACCAGGGGGCAGCTCCTGTGTTGAGCATCTGCCCCCC